TTCCAGGGAAGAAGCAGGCCTCAGAAAGTGTAGGGACAACAAGAAGAAAATTAAGTGGAGAGGGACAGATGAGAGTCAGAAAAGATAAGGGGATGAAGATAAATGAAAGCAAAGAGAAACAATGGAGAAAAAAGCAAAGGAGAAAGATAAATTGAGGACTTGGGAGGTGAAAGGTAAAGGAAGGCAAACATGAAGAAGAAGCAGAGTATCAAGAGTATCAAGGAAGAGGTCTGTAAGGGTGAAGACACACATTATATTTAGGCCATATTAAATTGTGCAATGTTAAGCAATGTTAAAAGTTCAAATGTGCTGTGAGCAGTTGAATCTTAAGGGTTAAGAGTTTCTTGCCTGTGCATAGCTCTGACTTGCCACTAGAGGGCTGGTGAGCAAGGATGTAGCTAAGAGCCAGGATACCTAGTCTCTTTCCCTGCTGGGGGAGGGCTTGGTGCAGTACATCCTAAGATATTGGACAACTGCAAATTATTTGTTTTATCTCTGTGAAACAGACTGAAGTTACCCTAACACCAACTAGGTAGCACCATCCAGAATTAACCCTCTCCTGACATGAAGTAACTTTGAGATGCTCAGAGGGCAGTTAGCATGAGTTAATGAGCTTTATTTAACGTGTGGACATTCACATTTAAGTGCCCTTAGTACAGGCTACATGTAATGTGTAAATTTGCCCTGAGAGAGGACACGGAGGAAAAGGAAAAGAGTGATAATTACAGAATTGGAGAGCAGCAGGAGGGAAGAGGTTAGGGGTTATCTGTTTCTCCCCAGATGGTATTCTGAACTCTATTACCTTCGTTTTCATTTGAGAAAGCTGACACTGTAATAAATGTTTAACACAGAGAAGCACTAGTAAGACAACTGGGTCCAGTCTTCAGACTTGGGCTGGGGTCACAAAGGTTAATGCCCTTGCCACATGACAATTTCAGTCTTCAGAAGTTCTAGTGGCTACCACTACATCCTCTCAATAAAAAAACCCAAAAACTAGTATCAAATTCCAGTTGAATATAATCTAAAAAAAAGAGAAAACTGAATTAATGCCATCAGTTAATAAAACAGATACTTGGAGATGTCAAGAGTGATGGTAAGAATAGATTACCTGAATCCACCGGTACATGCACATTATTCTGCCTCCTATAAGGCATACCATGCTTGAATTTTGATGGTGTTCTTATCACTGGGCCATTTCTTGCTCTCAAAATACTTTGCTCTGCAATGGGATTCTTAGCTCCAGAAGTGGATGTACAACCTTCAGTTTCTGCTTGCTGTTCTTAGCATTTTGCATGATAACTTACTGGCATATTTCTTCTAACACAGGAACTTTTATCAGTCATATTCTTGCTGTCCTTAAGAAAGACAGAAAGAGAGTTGCCTTGGTTTGGCTTTCATGTCTTCTGTTCTCTCTGCAGTTGTGGTTATATCATATGACATTGTTGATGGAATAGTTGTTTCATTGACAGGTGGCCAGTTTTGTATTTGAAATTAAACACTGTCTCCCACCTGTAATGAGGGCGACTATTTGGGATTCTTGCAGAGTGTCTTCTGTTTTATTTTCCTGATCTATAATTTTTCTGTTGACTTAGTTTTGCTTTACAGGTTAATTACCACGGTGACATGACAGGTGTCAGTACTCACTGACTACAGTGGCTGTTATTACACAGAATGGTTTTCCTTGGCTTCTAGGTTTATGATTTTGGTAGTGCAAGTGCAAAAGTGTCTGGTTTTATGGAGTCAGTGAGCTATGTACAGTGAGTATCCTATTATATTCCAAATCCCCTTTGCAAGCTACTGTTTAAATCTAAGTAAATCTAGCAAGATTCTTGCAATTCATAATTATTGGTGTAACTGCTAAAGCAACATAATTAATCAGCAGGCATACTAGTTTTCTCTGATTAAAAAATCCCCAATTTTTGAGTTAAAAACCCCAAATCCACATTTTTCCATGATCAACATGAAACACCACTCTCTCTCTCTCTCTCTCTATATATATAAATCTATTTATTAGTGGCATTTCAATTTAATCATAGAAAAATGTGGATTTTTTTTATCAGAGGAAACCAGGATCCTTGTTAATCAGTTACTCGGCCAAAAAAAATAACCGGCTGAGAGCAATGTATTGAGTACTTTTGATGACACAGCAATTAAATGTCTCTGCACTCTTACTGACTCTCAGCTGTTTAATAGACATAATGCTGTCATTATTAGCCATCAACTTAATTTATATGTTTTGGATGCTCTCAAAATCATAAAAGGATGGAACATACCAGGAAAGGGTAAATATTTTCCATAACAGTTTGTACAACATACGGAGTCTAACGTTTTTTCCAGCAGCCTTGAAACAGTTTTGAGTGACATCAGAAATATCAGCATTTGACCCCAGTGCACCACAGCTGATTAGTTTTGGCCGAGAACTGTACGGAAAGGGAGAAATGGAGTTTCCTAGATTGGTACCAAAGCAAGGAGGGCTGTAGCACTAGTAAGGCCAGCCAATCTGATGCACATGCAATCATGGGCACGAGCCCACAAAGAAACGACCGGCCCGTCCATCCCCGTTATTACAGGGAGCCGGTACTTGTGCATCAACAGATTCTGGGGGACAACAGTGAAAACCAGGGTGGGAGTACAGATCAATGGTTAATAAATGCACCAAGAAGACACACTGAGTGGAGCACGCTGGCCAGCATCTAGAGTCCAAAGAGCCAGTGGATACTGCTCAGTGAAATACTACCTGGAGATGTGGCCAGATGAAGGACAGGAAGATGGCCCCATAGTCATGGGGGGAAGGTAACACTAGTAAGGCTGGAAATTATGTTGCTCTACTTTTCCAGTGCCCCATATTATGGAGTCTTTGTCAGGCCAGGCCTCTCTGGGTCTGCTATTTGGTACAATGTAAATCAGTACAGCCAGTTGCATGGTCAGGTTGTTGATGACCAAACCAGTGCCCCACGCTGGGCTTGCCTGGGTGAGGAGGGTGTAGGGACTGAAAAAGGGCAAATGAGCTCCCTGCAAGCCAATGGCCTGGAGAGGAGCTAGGGGCCACCAGGTTACTCCACCCCAAGAATCACCAATGATACAAAACAACTCAGCTGACCTCACTGGAGTAGAGGAGGGTTGTTACAGCATCTAAGGTGCCCCAATGGTCGCAGTGGCTTCAGGACTGAGTTGACTTGATATTATGGAGCAAGGTGAGAACAGAATGGACTGGTGAACCAGAAGTCCTGTGTGTTTTCATCAGGGCAATGGGAGGACTGGGCTTTGAGGGCCTGGGCATGAGGATCTGCCTTGTGTAGCTTCAGCTAGTTGCGTCTCCTGTCTCTTCTGTTGCAGAAGTGGCCCCTCAAGGATCTTGAAGCTAATCCTTGTCTCGTTCCTCCTCTCCCGCCCAGCACCTGCTGGGGCCTTGGATTCATCCCCCTGCCCTACCCCCAGGGACCCAGGCCAGTCTCTTCTGATCCCTCACACAAACCCACTCATGAAACACGCCTGTGTGCCCCCTCAGCCCCCAGGCGCCTCTTTCCTTCTTTAGTGGACCCTGCTTTTGGAGGGTGGGGGGTTGAAGCAAAGGGCAACCGTTGTCCTGAGGTGCTTGGGAGGCCTTTAAGTAGGTGGGCCCAGCCCACCAAGTTTCTCCTTGACCTCCCTTAGGCTATAGGAGAAGGGGACAACAGATTTCTTGAAACAAATACCATAAAAAGCAGGGCTGGGAGTGCTGCTCAGAGGTTCAAGCAAGAGCCCCAGGTGGGGACATGGAGCAGAGCACGTGGGACAGGGCCCAACTGGCCCTCAGCCCCTGGTGCTGAGGGAGCCCAGCCGGCTCAGGCATCCCCCGGCAGGCGGCAGCACGGAGCCGCCCCCGCTTCTCCGGTCAGGGGAGCACAGAGCCCCGGCCCGGGCAGAGGCCCAGCTGCTCCCCTCCAAGGTGCTGGGGCATGTGTATGTGATACATATGTGTGTGTGAGAGAGATATGTGTGTATGTGATACATATGTGTACCTGTGTACATGTGTGTGCCCCGGGTGCCTCTTGCCCCGCGTGGGGGGCGGGGACAGCCCGCGCTGCTGCGTGGGAAGCCCCACGAGAGGCGGGTGCAGGGGGCGAGCCCCGTGTAGAGGCAGAGCCGAGGGGACGGGGACGGCGCTGCCCTCCGCCCCGCTGGGCTGCAGCAGGCAGGCACCGTGAGCCAGCCCCTGCCATGCATCTGAGCAGCAGCAGCAGCAGCAGCAGCAGCAGCATCCAGCTCCCTCCCGCGCCCTCCTCCTCCTCCGTCTCCCGCGGCCGCTGCTGCGCCGGGCTCCTCGCTGCTGCCTCTGCATGGAGAAGTTGCAGCCTTTGCGAAGCCCCGGCTGAGCCCTGAGACGCTGCAGCCGCCGCCGCCGCCGCCTCGGAAGAGGGAAGGGCGGGGAGGGGGGCGCGGGCGAGCCGCTCTCCCAAGCATGAACTGATCGCCTGCCCCAGCGCTGGCTGGTGGCGGCGCGGAGCTGGGAGCCCCCATGCCTCTGGGGCTGGCC